TACAATATAATATATATATTTCTAGGTATGTTTTTATAGTGTTTGTTTCGTAGTTGTAATATATATAATATACAGCATAGTTAAGTACAAAATGCAAACAAAATATGGTCCCACTTATATATTAGGTGTCCTTAAATACTATGTACCAGTGTTACTTTCGTCAACGAAGACGAAAAATATTCGTTAAGGAACATTTTTTCTGTGACTAAGACGAGACATTGGCGAGCTAAAACTAATATCTGATGACGAAATTTATGCCGTGTCTTCGTTAACTAGACAAGACGGGACTATATGTTATTTGAGGACTACAGGACATTCAAAATACATCCTATAGAATAGGCTAACTGTCCTCTTTCAAAATGTGCATCCCTGTCATTAGATTGCAATCGGATAAGGGGCGTTTGCATATCTAGTCGCAGTATGGGAGCTGCAGTGGACAGATAGGCTAATAAAACGCGAACTAGCGATCTGAAACAATTCTTTGATAAAAGGGGAGCACTGCTCAGCACTACCACAAGAACTGCCCATGGAGCAAGGAATCCAACTCCTCAGAGAGAATTAAACGCTCGAAAGAAAGCACCATGCTCACAATAACCCTCAATGGTGAGGGGAGCGATGCTTCCAGAGTGTGTCGACAGAGACACACTAGTTGAGTGGAGCCCAAGGTACCGGGGTCTAACCAACTCAGAGAAAGGGAACGAGATCAAAAATGCGTAACCCTTACCATACAGGATTTCAGAAAAGTGGGCAAAGCATAACGTGCACACTTACCAGCTATGTGGATTTTAGAAAGTGCGCAAAGTGTTCAGCGTGCACACTTACCACCATGTGGATTTCAGAAAGTGCGCAAAGCTTAGCGTGTGCAGTTACCATAGCATGGATTTAAGAGTTTTCCAAGCATCTGCTCACAGATACCCGGAAGTACTGAGCCAAATGGGAGAGGCAAGCTCAAATACAACCCTCTAAGGTGAGGGGAGCACTGCCTGAGACAGCATTACACAAGAAGGTTCTCGCAAATGCCACCTATACTTCCCGCTCGATGCCTCAGCAAGAGGGGATATCCTGGTGATCGGGAGGCCCCTCAGGGTGACCTAGATACGGTAGACCAGACAGGGCAGCCTGAAAGCATAAGCCCAGCCCGGACATCCAGGAAATTTTTGCAGTGCCTAATTATCAAGAAGGCTCCCGCAGAAGCCTGCGACCTGGCCGCATAATCCAGGAAGTATTAAGCCGAAATCCGGCTTATCGTACCGTCTGGACATATATCGATGAGTGAAATAAACACTGCAAGTTGAATCTGAAAAACGAGTTTAATTTGTATCTCTTTCGTATTTGTCTTATTGTCTTATTCTGCTTCTTTTTCAAAAATTATAAATATATTATACTGTATATGAACAACTATAATTTTTATAAGTTGCTCCCTTTTCACTGCTGTTAAAGGGATAGTTCACCCACAAATGTAAAAATGTCATAATTTATTCAAGTTTTTCCAAATTCAATCCTTGATTCAAATTTCTCAAGCTTAATTGATTTGGTCTAAAGAGAGAAGAATTAATGACTATTTTTGTTTGAAGACTACATATAAAATAGCTACCAAAATAAATGTTGGTAACTGCAGTTTGACTAAAAGTAATGACTAAAAGTTGACAAAAATGCAATGACTTTTCGTCGACTAAAACTAGACTAAAACTATGAAAGACTCAAATGAATAAAATGTGACTAAGACTACTAAGCATTTTCATCTCAAGATAAAGACTAAGACTAAATAAAAAATGCCTGTCAAAATTAACACTGCTATGTATTTAATAAAATAATGAATTGTTAGTTACACATGTAACTTTGTTCATGTGAAATTGCAAAAAAAAAAAATGCTGCTATTGAGGAGGGATATGGGTAAGCAGGTTTGGTGGTATATATAAGTTTAAGGGGTAGCAGTAGGGTCAACAGTGTAATTATAGGTGTAACTATAAATAGAATATGTAAATAGAAATTAATTACGGAGTTCTCTAGCTTTCTAGTTTCATATATTTAAAAATGTAATTTTAATGCAATTTTAAAAGCTAAATGTTCATGACCCTTCAGAAATAGTTATATAGCCTATTGATTTGTGGTTCAGGAAACATGTCTTATTATTATCAATGTTGAAAACAGATATACCGCTTAATATTTTTTTGCAAAACTAGATACATTTTTGGGGATTCTTTGATGTATAGAAAGTTATATTTATTTGAAATATAAACTTTTTTAACATTATAAATGTCTTCACTGCAGAGGCGGACAAAGTACACAACTCCGTTACTTGAGTAAAAGTACAGATATTGCTGGTCAAATATGACTCCATTACTAATGAAAGTTGTAAAGACAGATTTTTACTTAAGTAAAAGTACAGAAGTACTTGCATTTAAAAGTACTTAAGTACCAAATGTAAATTTCCTTTTTTTTATGTCAACGCACTGTTTTATTATTGTTGTATGTAATACTTGCAATACCTTATGCCTCTAAAGCATCTTACAATACATTATTCCTACTGAATACACTGACTAGCTTGTAGTGTCTTTGGAATAAAGAGCTTTTAGAATGTTAATAACCACACAGGAACAAATGACTAATGCACTATTAACTGTTACGGGGCGAACGAGACGTGAGACGTGCGGATCCATATGCAAGGCTTTATTCAAAGACATGGTCAGAAACAGGCAGGGTTGAACACCAGCAAACAGATATGTAGAGGGCAAGACACAAGAGTATTCCTAGGGCTAGCGTGGGTCTTTGATCAGCGCACAGAATCCAGAGGGCTTGACAAGAGGGGTAATCCAATAAACACAGGCAGAAGGTCAGGAAACAGACAACAAGGCAACACTAGACTAATACTAGAACTAGAACTGGGAACGGCTCCGTAATGCAGCTATCGCTAGAAGAGCTATATGCCTACTATTAACTAACAAGAAACTCTGATTAATGATTTAATAAGTAATAGCACTCAATTGAAAGTGGTAGTTCACCACACTAGTTATTTATTAATGACAGAACAGTATTCTAAAGTGTTACCAAACAATTTTATTTAACACCCCTAGCCACCCCCAAAAAAACATGATGGTAGTGATCTCACACAGCTCTGGCAGTGTGCACACATCTACGTGTAGCCATTCATCCACATTAGAACTGAGTGGACAGTGAAATTGCTGTAAATACAGATTGATAAAAAAATCAAACCTGCTTTAAAACCCAGCAACACAACTGTAGCTGTATACTTTTACAAAAGCAACACTACTTTAACAAAAAAGCAAAACCGCAACATTTATTTGACATCATCGCTCTTGCCATACTTTGATGTCATACACAGAAAGGTCTGTGCAGTCAAACACCTATTGTGATTTGTTAGGAAACGCACAACAGTTGTTCTGTGGCTTTATAGGTAATATTTTCGTTTATACAATTATGCAAAATCAGACAATATTGTTCTTATATATACCAAAATATTAACTTATTGAATTGTTGTAAATACATGTTACATTTGCAACTAGTCAAGTGTTCAAAAAATACTGGGAAAATCACTTCACGTTAACCCTACAAGAGTGATTACTGATATGCTGTCAAAAAAATCACATTTTAGAGAAGAAAAAAATCACCCACTGATTTTTAAAGCTGCTACATAGTAACGACTTTCTACTTTAAAGTGCCCCTATTATGCCTTTTAGAATATTACCTTTCATGCAGTGTGTCATGTAGCTGTATGTGAACATAAACTATCTGCAAAGTTGTGAAGCCGACATAAAGGTATTGTCTATCAAAAAAAAGAGTCGGGTCACAATCGCCTAAACAAGTCGTCGGGAATTCGAATCTTATTCTGTTACGGCTCTACGTCACGAAGTAAAACATTTGCATAATGTCTGCCCACGTTCTTCGTGGCACACTTGCCTGCCCACAAACAGTAAAATTTCCGTGTGGTTAACATCATGTCGAGAAGACGCTGTATCCTACACTGTGAGAGTAAATTTGTTTTATCACATCTTATGATTACCACAAACCTTTTAACACTTGACACTTACCATTGAGAAACGTCCTGCTCCAGTCGTGCTTGCGAATCAGTCTCAAAATGAGGTAAAATTAAATCTATTTTTTGAGAAAACTACCGTGTTTTTGACCTTGCATGCATGTAAACCTGTTTTAGGAGACTCATAAAACAATATTAGCAACATTAAAAATGGCTCTGGACCAATCACAAAGGACTGCGCCATCTGACCAATCACAGCAGTGAGGGCTCACGGAAAGGAGGGGTTTAGAGAGACTGATTCTTTGAACTGCTTCGCACGAGTCATTTACGAATCATTTAAAAATGAGGTAAAATTAAATCTATTTTTTGAGAAAACTACCGTGTTTTTGACCTTGCATGCATGTAAACCTGTTTTAGGAGACTCATAAAACAATATTAGCAACCTTAAAAATGGCATAATAGGGGCACTTTAAGGACCTTCATAGAAATGTAGTGGCGTGAAAAGTACAATATTTGTCTTTCAAATGTAGTGATTTATTAAAAAAAATTTTGCGGCCCATTCAAATCCCTAATGTTAAGCCCTACACTTCTGGTTTCTCTTTCCTTTTGGCGCTGCTCAGAGGTATTCCACCTATACACTTCATCACACACAGACGTTTGCCAAATCTGGAGTTGTTCAAAAGTGGAAAAGAAACAAGGGTCCATTTTTATCTGTACCACCGTCCTTTGATTGATCAATACTATGAGCCAGAACCAGGTTTCTTCTTGTGCAGATACTTGAATGCTGTGTTTGTATGTACTGTACACATTGACCTCATCGATTCTGGCATCTAAACAGATATGCATGGACATGACTTTAATTCCTTACGTTGACAGAAATGAGACAGCATATTAATCATTGTATAATTTATTATTATATCATTAATATTCTTCACATGATTACTCTTCAGTGCAGCAAATAGTTGTGACTGTTACATACAACTGTTTGTTTTTCTTTGTGTTTCAGGAATTCCAGTAAGTACTCCGTTATCACTGAGGCTTTAATTCAGAACAAATGTGAGCTGGTCTGGAGGTGGGCAGATACAGCATGGCATGCCTTGTTGGCTTTGAAACCTTGATAGAGACTGCAACTGAGGTGAGATCAGATGAAATGGAGAATATATGCTCCAGGAGACAGTTTCTGAATTGATCGCACTCCATTTTTCACTGTCTGGCATCCATCCTGACCGCCTGTATCGTAATAATCAGGCATGCCTTTAAAAAAATCCAACAGCTGATTCAAATCTTTTCGTGCCTTCACACAGAATGCATAGTAAACACTAGTACATGTTGAAATGTATGTGTACAATCCTCCTTATCATAGTTACAATGCAGCAGCACAACAGCTTTTATTGCTGTGGTTGCGTCACATTTCTCAACATGAGCAGAAAGCCACAATAATAAAGGAGAAGAGTGTGTAAACATGCATGGTTGCCCTAAACACGTTCCATTTTTATGAATGGTTTGTCACATAAGCTGTGTTTATGTATTGCAAGTGAACTAATAAAGACAATGGCAACAATGCAGTATGGAACACTTTAATAATGTCCATTCTTGTGCATATTTGGTGGGTTTGGGATGTAAACAAACTTCTTTCTTTTTTTAAATTCAGATATAATGGGTTTTTGTGTTTTTAATTGTACTGTTGCTTTTTCTTCATTGAATCCCTACAGGGCCCTCCAGGACGAGATGGCTACCCGGTAATTGTCAGTCCAGTTATACACTCACTGATCAACTGATCACATCTGCTTTAACCACAAGCTCACACAGGACTTGTGGTCTCATGTAGACCTCAGCTGATAGGCAGTGTTAAGGGTCATAGTGCGCCACCTGCTGGACATATTAGAAATTATTGCTAAAAAAATAACCTAAATAACCAAACAAGGTCATTCAACATTCAGCAATTGACATTTAAAAAGTTCAATTCATGCATAAACATGCTGATGCCATTTGGGTTGGGTTTAAACTGCCAGATGAGACCTTGGGTGTGTTTCCTGAATGTATTGTTAGCCAACTATGGTTGCAAGTTCTGTCGTTACCAACATAGTTCTACGATTTGGCATTTCCTGAATCCATAATTCCAACAAACATTCGTAAACAGTATCGCAAAGTTGTGTGGTTGAATCTTGTGCTTGAACAAAAGCTGGTATGATCTATATCTTTCATTCTAAACATAAATTTCATTCTATGTTGTTTCGTTTAAGAGAATTAACACAACGTTTTTAGAGTTTGCATGTGCATACCTACTCTGGTACCAAAGGGGAATTCCTGGGTGAAATAAGCAAACCTGCAAAATAACAGAGAACAAACATAGCGAAGAAGTCCTCAGTTATAATGCCATTTACAGCAATAAACCATCATTAACAGCATTTCTAACCAACAAGGTTTGAATGTTGGATGTGCGACAAAGTTGTGACTAGCTAGTTTGTTTCTCCAACGTTGAATCGTACTATGGTGGTTAATTAGCAAATTATGTCGTTTTACAGGAAACACACATTACATTTACATTTAGACATTTACTTTTATCCAAAGCGACTTGCAAATGAGGACAATGGAAGCAATCAAAATCAACAAAAGAGCAATGATAAGCAAGTGCTATAACAAGTCTCAGTTAGCTTAATGCAGTACACGTAGCAATTTTTTTTTTAAATCATATAATAAATAAAAAGAAAACAGATAGAATAGAAAAAGAATAGAGCAAGCTAGTGTTAGAGTCCTTTTTTGATTTTGTTAATCAGAAGTCAGAAAGTCAGAATTATAACTGTATAATAAATAAAAAGAAAACAAATAGATAGAATGCAAAAAGATTAGAGAAGCAAGTGTTAGTTTTTTTTTTTTTTTTAAGAAAACAAGCAGTTCGTAAATAAATAGAGTGCAAGTCTAAAAGGGGCAAGTTTTTTTGTTTTGTTTTTTTTAAATAAAGAATAGAATTAGAATAGAGAGTGCTAGAGTTAGAGGGTCAAATAAAGATGGAAGAGATGTGTTTTTAGCCGATTCTTGATTGAAGATGGCTAAGGACTCAGCTGCTCGGATTGAGTTGGGCAGGTCATTCCACCAGGAGGGAACAGTTAATTTAAATGTCAGTGAAAGTGATTTTGTGCCTCTTTGGCATGGTACAATAAAGTGCTGTTCACTTGCAGAACGCAAGCTTCTAGAGGGCCATAATTCTGAAGTAATGAATTCACACCCCAGATCTCTTATTTCTTTGTGCTTAAATTTTGAGTAAATCAAGTGATAAACTTCTAATGGGGTTAAACAAGTCAAAATACATCAATGTACTTTTTTTCACAAAGGTTTTCAAATATATAATGTATATATATATAATGGTACAGATAATTGTATGCATATATAGCGTATTACACAGGCATACAATCCATCTGTATGCATAACCTGCCTATTAAAAATGAACCTTAAACCACAGAAAAAAATTGTTTAAATTATCAATATTAGATAAGCTAATTTAATCATATCAAATTTTCTTATTTTAATCGTTATTATTAAAAAAACAAGTTATTCTTGAATTTTTTAACCTATACACCTACACAATTCTTACAGAACAAAGAGATATTGTTCTTTCCAATAGCTTTGCTTTTAAAAGAGGCATTAGTTGCGTGAAGCCTCCCTGACAGGCCATCGCGATCCAGATGCGATCAGTTGCATGCGTTGGCAGCCTCCGCTCCGCATAAAGATCAACTGGGAAATATAGCCCTGTGTGAAGTCTCTCCAAGCATAACAAGAGAGCTGCTCCAAACTGAACCGTGTGCAGGACTGCACCACATGTGGCCCTTACCGGATTTCCAACTGCACTCAGAACTTTCACCACACAAGTCATCCATTTCTTCTACATCATGCTAAATAGACTGATATGTGCAACTCCTGCATGCTTTCTTGTCACTTGTCCGTTGTGAAAGTACAAGCACACACTACCAGATCAAGACAGACAGCTCTATTGTCTGTGTTTCCTGACTATGTTGTTCAGAATAAAGACATTCAAGTCAGAAATCAGAAATATTTGTTTATCACTATATTTATTTTTAGTCCAATTTTACAATGTGTATACAACGTTATGTTGATATTGTTTTAATAGATGTTGCGTTCTACACCGCCTGTTTTACATTTATTATGACCTTTTGTTCTAAAGGTTTTCCAATCAGAAAGTGCTTACTTTTCATTTAGTTAAGTATGTTGGCTTATATTTTTCACAGGTCAGAGACTTAGAGTGAACAGACCCCTTTCAGCACCTTCAGTGCCGTGGACAGCGACTTCCTGTCTTTTAGTCTGAGCTTACTGAAGCCAGTGATGATGGACTAAACCTTTCCTTCCTCTAAGTATTTATAACAGCGGACCACTAATTATTATTACAAAAATATATTTTTGGAGTCCATCAAAGCTAAACTGTATGGTATTGATTTTATTGTGAACGATTAATCTATGTACTGTATGTTAAATTTTTTTTACCTTAATTTTTAATCAAAATGTCAAAACCCGATCTTCCAGTGACACAACAAACTTCTCTCTTGTAAAGTATTCCGGACAGCTCTAATTATTTAGTCTGCTTAAACTCCGCCCCTTTCTTACAATCAACTGCAGGCTTGCATTAAGATCTGCCTCCATCCAGTTAACATCCGATGTATAGGACCAAGTGTAACGGAGGCCAGCTGGTAAGGCAGTTAGGACCGGAGGGGTTACATTGGTGCCATGGGAGTGAGGTTTAGGGGGGTGAGTGTAACGGAGTCTCCCCTGATCTCAAAAGTTGCACCAGTGACTGACGCTAGAGGCTGTGGTCTTTAGCGTCCTTGTTAGTGCGCCCACCTCCCATGATGGCAACCCAGGTTCAAGTTCCACTCGACTTTTTCAAATATCCATTTTACTCAGATGTCTGTCACTATAGGGAAGAAATGATCAAAATCTAAAATTAAAATCCAGTGTATATGATTGCCCTGAAATAACTATAAAAACTCATCTGAGTCTTATTCTATTTCTGTCTCTCTCAGGGTCCAATGGGTATGGATGGTAAGCCTGTAAGTACAACATCATTGGTTTAACTCCAGTTATCTGTAGGGATGTAAATTTATTGCTGCACAGTAACACGCTGCTCATTATGCTGTAAAAAAAATATAATAATTTCTAATAATAATTTCTTTCTTCTTAAAGGGACCTCCAGGTCCAAACGGCAGTCAGGTAGGTTTTTTCATCATTTCAATCTGAAAACAACTGTATTATTGTGTGTTGTGTAATTCTGTCATGGGCCAGTTTGTAATACATCTTAGATTTCTAACAAAGTCATAACAGCAACATCTGGTACAAACCAGCCCCACCTCCTGGTTTGTACAGCACAGGTAATCTTCAGTCCATCACCTCATTCATAAGAGTGTAATGCTGGAAAGTAGTGTTAGATCTTATTCCTCAGGTTACTCCAGGGGCCAGTTGCACAAGCTGTGCGCAAGTAAAAAAGCGTAGTTGTGGTGAAAATCGGCACTAAGTTACAATTTACGCGCTACTACATATTAAACTTAACTGAAATTTAACCTTACTTTGAAGGCTGCTCATTGGATCAATAAAGGTAAACATAATTTTTTGCAACTACATATTACAGAGGTCTTGTGACTTAGTAGAGTTGTGCCTTAAGAGCAATTGATACAACCAAAATTAAAGGGATAGTACACCCCAAAATGAAAATACTCGCATCATTTACTCAACCTCATATGTTGTTTCAAACCAATAAGACATACTTTGAAGAACTTTGGAAACCAAACAACAATGGAGCCCACTGACTTTAAATGTATTAAAAAAAAATGTCTTACAATTTTGGAACAACATGAAGATAAGTAAATGATGAGATAATTTACATTTTTGGGTGGAGTATCCTATAAGTACAGAGTTAAGGCCTTTCCACACTGAGCGCGAGGCGAAAAAGCGAGGCGAAACGCAGACGAAAGGTGCTTTCACACCGAACGCGAAATGATTGTTCGCCTTCTGCTAATTCACGCCTGCACGCTAGGTGGCGCCGACCAACAATGCATTTTTCCTCAGATATGTATCTCGTAAATGGATTTAACGTCATCCGCTGCTCAATATACAGCATTAAATTAAGATAAACAAGGTAATACAGCAGAAACAAACTATCGATAATGCTTACAAGAATAGGCTACATCCTAAAATATAATTAGAAGTACAATTAGCATCAAGCTACACTTGAAAATTTATGTAATTACTAATTTATTTGCTTACCCACTTTAAACCATCATCGACTGGTCATCATTCATCATTCTCTCTGTACATCTGGGAACCATTCTAAGAAGACATGGGGTGTCTTTTCATTTTTACGCTGACAATACCCAAATTTATCTACCTATCAAAAGAAATGATCCCTCTGCATTTGCTTCTTTAATAAAATGCCTAGAGGAAGTTAAATTTTGGCTAGCCCAAAATTTTTTATCCTTAAATGAAGATAAGACTGAGGTGATTGTTTTTGGACCCTCTGACAATTCTCAGGCATCCAGCTTAGATCTGGGTAGTTTATCAGTGTTTAGATCTTCACGTGTACGGAACCTGGGCATTTTGTTAGATGAGTCCTTAAACCTTGACAAACATATCTTCTCTGTAATAGGTTCTAGTTTTTATCAACTGCGCCTGCTATCAAAAATCAAACCTTTCTTAAAGGGGTCCTATTATGCTTTTTCACTTTTTCAACTTTAGTTAGTCTGTAATGTTGCTGTTTGAGCATAAAAAAGATCTGCAAAGTTACAAAGCTCAAAGTCCAATTCAAAAGGAGATATTTTATTTAACAGAAATAACTTTTCAAAAACTACAACGAACGACTCGTTTGGACTACAACGCATATTTTCCGGGATTTGTGATATCACAAATACCGACGAATGGGATGAGACCTGGTTGAGCTGCACTAGAGAAGGCAACGAGTGTTATGACTAGGGCTGGGCAAAAAAAAAAAGTCGATTTTTCGATTAATCGTTTTTTTTAAATGACATCGATTCGATATCGATTCTCAAAAGCCACGAATCGATCTTTTCTGAGATTTATTTCAGCACACATTTAAAATAAGATCTGATTAACGTGAATCATAATGCCTTCATCTGATTACCAGAAAAATTAAGAACATTTTATAGGGCCCTACTATTGTTTAAAAAGGACCCTATACAAAAAAAAGAATAGGTTTAAAATACAGGCATGTGGTTCTTAATTTCTTTTTATTAATTCACTATTTGTAAACTGATGTTTACTGTTAATTTTTTAGAAATATCAATAGCATTTGTATTAAAACTATATTCACTGAATGTAATAAAAAAAATCGAGAATCGAATCGAATCGAATCGAGAGCTTGCGAATCGAAATCGAATCGGGATATCTGAATCGATACCCAGCCCTAGTTATCACTATGTCGGAGACACGGCAAGGCAGACGAACTTAGAGTGGTTACAACCATCCGGGTTACAACCATCCAGACGCTTAAGATCCAGTGATCAGAATCTTCTTCAAGTCCCACAATTCAGACTCAAACGTAGAGGGAATCGAGCTTTCTCAGTGGTTGGGCCGCGGCTGTGGAATAACCTCCCTTTAGAGATTAGACTTGCCCCTTCTCTGTCCACTTTTAAATCTCTCCTAAAAACATATCTGTTTTCTTTGGCTTACAAATAATTGTCTATTATGGTCTTTGCTTAGTCTTTTATGGGTTTATTCTTTGTTTCTCTTGTGTTATTAATATATTTACTTATTTTATTATTAGGGCGAGACCCTGTTGTTGTTTAGTTTAATTGTAATTGTTTAGTTGTGCTGATTTTTATATTCTTTTTACTATTTTGAATCTCTGTACAGCACTTTGGTCAGCCGTGTGGCTGTTTTATACGTGCTATATAAATAAATTGAAACTTGAAACTTGATTGAATGCTTGTAATAACTTCCAATTGTGATCTATAGTTGATTTTGATTAATAAGCAGACACATGCACTCTTTTGTTGAATAACGCTAAACTGCTAATATTTGTCATAAACATCCTTTATTGCTATAAAAATACCATGAGCTACATACAAAACACATACAGAAAATATATCGTCATAATCATGTCTATTTGCATTCATATTTCATGTGTAGAAAGTGAACGCGCTCTGACTCATAACACTTGTGCACGTGGAAGAAAATGGACGTTGCTCTACATACCACATAATTCAGTGAACAATTAATAGAAATGTTATTCTGTATAAAGAACATGTGAGAATAAAACCGGCTCGCAGTTAATCGTTACATCCCTAAAATCTATTGTTTTATTCCATCGCGTCCGATATTCGTTTCGCTTTTTCGCGCTCAGTGTGGAAAGGCCTTTAGGTACAAACTTACTAGCAGTTACTAAGAACCCAATTCTGCACCTTACATCCCAAATTCAGTAAAAATGGCTGGTGCAACCCAATCCATGTTATACTCGTATATGTTTACATTGGGGAAGGCCAGCAGGGCCTCAGTGTCACTGTGTGGGAGAAATGAAGTGGTCGATGCCTCTTTTAAAACCCATTCGAAGGGTAAACATTGGAGCAATTAATTGCTCAGAACTGCATACAAGTTGGGTGAAGCACATAAGTGGAACACCAACAGCTTTTGCCAGTTACTTCGAAGTTTAGAGTCACCGGTTTAAAATCACGCTCAAGAAGATGAATGTTTTCTTGCTAAAAGTGGAAGGGCACTTAAGTTGAGTGTTTACTTAAAGGACCATTGAAGATTAAAGAAAGAGGGGGGTGTTTTTGACTGGGCACACATCAACAAGAAGATCCGCAATAAACATCTTTATGTAACAGGAGAGATGTACAACATCAGTATCATCTAGTGTAGCTTCTCCATCACAATCAAAGCATCAGAAAATGAAATCAAGTGATTTGTCCAGTGGCATCATTGTTTGGTCCAACAATAACACCCTCCAATCTATTACAGATGTTATGGCATATCGTGGCAATCTATAACAATAAAACTCCAGTCCGCTTTAAAAATATAAAAGGTGACAAAAACTCTTCCAAGATTCCTGCTCTACCATTTTGTAACCCACAAATCCGTGTTTTGATCTCAAGTCAACATTAAGAGCACTTGGGACAAGACTCTCATGTTTAACATTCTTTGAAAAATACCACTACACCACTGCACTGCTTACTGTGATGAAGCTCATACTTATGAAACAGCACACAAAATTACAGCGTTCGAAGAGTTGCAGTGAACACAACACCACAGAGTATGATGGAACTGTGATAATCAGAATGTGTCTTGTTGTATTTGCGGTCTTGAGCAAAGTTTCCTGTGCAGACCGCTGAGCAGAATAAAACCAGAATAATATCATCCATTCCCTCAAACCAGCTGTCCACTCATGAAATAAGAGCTCGTGTTAAATTATATGCAGGAATCTTTGCTGTCATCAGGAATGTAATGTCATAACATTGTTTTATTTTTACTTTTCTATGTCTTTCTTTTCATATTTTGTGATGTATTGGTTTTCATTTACTCAATCATTCATTCAAACACTCAGATTCAACCACTAAAACATCTGCCAGTCATTTCTGAGGGTGTAAGAGGTGTGACTTGTGGTTTGCAATGGAAATAGCCTGCGTTGTTAAGAACAATTTTTAATCTGTCACTTTGAATCGTTCTCTTCTTTTGCCAGGGAATGCCGGGACCAAAAGGAGATAAGGTATATTCACCCCACAATACATTCCAGCATGATAAATGTGCAATTTATGGAGCCGTCAAAGCATAATGATAGTTTTGATTCAAAGAAACGTATTCACGAGTATAAGCTAAGAGTTGCTCTCTCCACAGGGTGACCAGGGAGACATGGGTCCCAGGGTGAGTGTCACAAACATCTAATATTATGCTCAGTCAGAAGTCTTAGTTTACAGAGATTGCACTGATCTGAGGATGCCCCTTGACCTGGAAGTCAATTATAAAGCCATTTCCTTCCAGATGGCAGGGCTTGGTTGCTAGCAGTTTTACATTACTGTGTTGATAGATGTAAAATCTTTATCTGTTCAACTAATTCCAATTACAACCTCAATGTGGTATCCATCACTGTACCCCTGCATCTACCAAGCCAGTTTTCTCCTCATCCACGGGGAAAAACTGTGAGCCTTGACAAATCAGGAATTCGCCGGTGCAGATCGCACCACTTTTCTATCTATATCTACTTGAACTATCATTTAAATCATTTGGCTCCCTATGCTTCTTTTCCACCATACCTCATGACCATTCGGCACAATTAGAAACATGTGCTTTGGCTGCTCTCTTTCTTTATGTTAAGAACATGTGTTGTATGCGCTACACTGTTTTTGCTTTACGCCATCAGTCTGACAGTAGAAAAATGAACCAAATCATTGAGAGTGGTGACATGAGCAGTCAGGAAAAGGAAAACAGCCTCTCCCATGGGCCGTGTTCCTCTTTTTGTGTGGATGTAAGAGCCAAAATTAGCGCTTTTTCAACTGCATTGAAGCAGGAGTATGACCCTTTGGAATCCATTAAAGCTCTCATGGTACAAGGACCCCTTGACCTGGAAGTCAATTAAAGCCATGTTTCCTTCCAGATGGCAAGACTTGGGTTTGTAGTGCAGGTGGATAGTTGACCTTATGCTTACTCCTGACTTGTGACTTTTGCCCTTTGCCCAGACATAGAAGCAGATCAGACTCACAAAGTAGTCTTTGTGGCATCTGAGGCAGCCAAGAAGAATGTTCTGCTAAGTCGTATGAAGGGTTGTGTGCCATTCAGAACTGAATTGAGAATTCTGTTTAGTTTCCAGTTTGGTTCCTGAATTTGAAATGAGGTAGCAAACAGGATGCAGAATTGCCATTCAGATTTGAATGTAAGGTAATGAAGTTGAATTGAAATCCAAAGGAATTCACATAACTTTAAATTAGAAAAGCAAAGTTTAAAGTTCTGGGGAAAAAAGGTTTAAAAAGTCATGAAGATTGGGGGTTTTTAGGCCTTACAGATAGATAAATCATAGAGATCATATAGTAGAGACTTACCATCCAGAATACCCCTAAAAACCATCTAGCAACAATCCAGAACACCAGAGCAACAAACTAAAAACTGCATGGTAATATTTTGGAAACCATGAAGATCATGGTGGCAAGTTGTGCATGGGCAAGCACCCATTTTCTGCTGACAAGGTAGAAATGTAGCTTAGGGATGCTGTGGTTCTTCTCTACGGCTTTTCAGTACAGTTCCTGCAGAGTACGTTTTTGTGCACAAACTTCCTTGACAATCTGTGAGAAAGAAAAATCATGAAAAAGTTTCTCCTGGGAAAAGTAGTCTTTCTTTGTGAATCTGTTGCAGACCTATCTAACCGCAACTCTAAACATAAACCTCATTGCCATGTGCTCCCATTGAAAATTAATCATATCCAGAAGGGCTTGGTTTCTTAAAACAAAAGAATAGCCAGAATAACTCTCACAGGATTCAATTTCAAGTTGAAGCTCAGTTCTGCACAGAAGTACAATATAAGATGTCATCACCCTCCATTATATGTATTGTAACAATGTCATTCTCCGAATCATCTCCTCTTTCTCACTTATGTCATTTCCTGCCTCCGTTTTCTTCTAAATGACCTCTGACCTCCCAGGGACCACCGGCCTACGCTACCTCTGCAGGCCTGCTCAGTAATCAGATTCTCACGGTTAAGGTTTGTCCTTCCCAGCCTATCATCTCTTGTCCATGTTCACAAACATCTGTGCCTCATACCTTACTTTATTTCACTTTGTTTTTTCACTTCTCCTTTGTTCCCACAACCCTTTACGCTGAGGGAAGATGGTGCAAGCTGAATCTGTTTCTCCCAGCTGTGATTACTGACATCGCTGCTTTCTTTCTTATTCACTCTGTCCATCTTTCTCATTATCTGTCCTTTGCTGTTAGATGGTCTTCCCTCGCTATGAGCATGGCTTTCTCTCGGCTACAGTTGACCACTTTTCACAGGCACCTTCTAAAGGTAGAGCTGGACTTGTGCATGAATGCCTTGCTGCTTTTCTCATTTTCTCCATTTCTTCTGTGTGTCCTTGGCCTCAATTAGCTCATCTGGCAGTTTACAATGTTGTGTTGCATGCCTGTTTTGAATTTCAAAGAGAGGATAATTGTTGTGTTTATTGACAAAAGAGACGAAAACATGTTTGCCAGACCACAGCAAATAATCAAGCCAAAATAACTTTTTGCCTTTTTTAACCGTAAAAGCGTCTTGCATTATCTTAATATGTTAATCAAGTATCGTTTTTGTGAGGAACAAACATTTCTTCATACATAGCTGCTCCTTGAAGCTTCGGCCCCAGAAGCATTTTAACATTTGCCGCAACCAAACTCAGTATCAGTGCTCAGAATATCAGTGGTTATATGAGACAAAATGAATGTGAAACATGGTTAGTATAACCAATGTAGGTAAAGTACCTATTCGAGATCAGAAACAACAGTGAAACTCTTTTCAAAGACAATATTCAAATACTTGTTCTCTCTCTGTCTTTAGGGTGATCAAGGTCAGGCTGGGCCCCCAGGACCTCCAGGAACACCTGGTCCCAGAGGGCCTCCAGGAAACACAGGCAGAGATGGGCCGCAGAGCCACCCAGGAGAGCCGGTGAGACCCTTGCATTCTATCTCACATGGTCTCTTGTGCCTGTGTCTGTACTGAGCTCACTCATTCTACAGCTGTTGTGACTCATATATGAGTCACACTGTGCTGAAAACCCCACTCAGAAGACCAGGTGCAGCTTCTCACTGAGCTGAACCCTGTGCTCAGTGTTGGGTTCAGATATACTGCATTTGCTTCTACATATGTGTTCTTGGCAGATGCTCCCATATCACAGTGACTTGGTTTTAAAAATACATAGATTGTTCAAGACAGGTAGCTGTAGAATAAATTTCAGGTGCAATGGTTGCTATGCGTTCAGAGTCACTAAAGTTTATTGACAAGGGTTTTAATGCATTGCTTTGTGGTATGTTCTTGGTGATTTCTAGGGTGAAAAGGCTGTGAAACACCAAGTCAACAGTCAGCTAACGTTGACTCCACTTTTGCATGTGTTCTGCACTGCTGGCACTAGTAGGATCACCGTCAGCAGCTCTTCACCTGTTTGAGCATGTTGAATGGGTGAGGCATAGCACTCTAATTGGCTGTTCAAAGCCTAAAGTACAAAGAGCTCACCCCAAGTTTCTTTAATATTTCTTAGAGCCGGTGTATCTCCTTTTGTGTAAGTCTAATGGATTGCCAGTCAAGGCCTCCTTAGAATCCTCAACTTTGAATAGGGTTGCTTTAATATTTAGTTTTGCATTAACTTGTAGTTGTTTCATCTTCCATCACCTCAAACATCATACAAAGCCTCAACATGCTGTTCTCAGTAATGCATTATATAACAGTCCGTGAGGTGGGATACTTAGTGATTGAACTTGCAGCTTCAGAATATGTAACTCTGATGGTTTATGCATTTGTTTATCCCAACATATGTTCAGCACTTTATTTCCTTTTCAGACTACCATCTAATCCAAACAAAGAATGGTGCAATGATGAAGGGCAACAATTCTCACCCGGCTCTCTCCCTCATATTGGGAGCAGATGTTCTGGGGTCAAGAAGCTCAAAGGCCATTTCCTGTTATTGTATCCCAAATTGTGTTTATATACAGTATATGCCTAAGTGAAACCACCTCATTAGGCCTGATTCTGTGCCTTTGTCTTTCTCAGAAGTGCTGTGGAACATGACAAATAGACAGCACTGTGGCACAAATCAAGACAGTAGATGTTTCTGTTGAGTGTCTGTAGGAATACATGAAGATGTACAAATTAATTTGATTTTAGGCAAATGTTATGCAATATTTCTTCAATGTTAAATCCGTAGCTGACTTGAATACATCCTTGGAAGCTTACAGGACGTCTGCCAGAACAGTCTGAAATAGATGTTTAAAAGGCCATTGTGTGGTTGTTTACTGTTGTTTTGGTGTGTTCCAAAGTTACACTCCCATTAGCTGAATAACCTTGTCTGCGTTTAGAGAAAGAACCTGCGTCACTTCAGAGCTGCTGTCTGTATCAAAGAATTTAGACACATTTGGATCACTTTTTCTTCACTGACTTAATTAAAAGTAAAAGATTAGATTTAAGTAGTTATATTATACATCATAGATCTAAAAAGGTCTAGCATTTAGTGGACAGTCAAAAGAGACCTGCTCCTTTAAATATGACTAATTTCTTATGTTTGCTCTCTAAAATCAGGGTCCTCCTGGAAAAGATGGATATGAGGTAGAACTTCATTCATTTTTATTTTTTTTTACTTTTTATATGAACTCATTTTATTATTGATCTACAACTTAATGGAATTAAGTAATGCTGTTAAATGAGCGTGACATGTCATATCTTAATTACACACTGGCTTATGTAATGCACATTTTCCCTACAGGGACCAAGAGGGCCACCTGGCATAGAGGTATATACATGTCTACGAACATATGTGAATCACATGAGTGGTCCCTTAAATATTTTGGACACTTAAGCCAAAATTAAAAAAAATGTATGAATGTAGTATTAGTATAAAAATAATCAAAACAGCAATATCAAACCAAGTGGTATTTGTATGATAGTACAATTAAATGATTAAAGCAAAACACAAAAAACAAGTTTATTTCAAATACTAAAATGATAGATATGTTATTCAAAATAAGAAAAATATATTTGGATCCTGTCAAACACTATTGGAACATTAAATCTCCTTGGTACCAGTTTGATAAAAGTAGTTTAAGTAAATAAATAACGAAAGATTTTAAGATTTTGATTCAAATTTTCTCTGTGCATTAACTTAACAGATTAATTGTTCACCTCAAGACTAGCAATGTGCACTAACAAAGTAAATAGTGTCAATTTTGATGTCATGCCCATTTAAGCCTTCAGAATAGTAAAATACTTTAATGTACATTTAATATTCACTACTACTTATTTTTCATTGCACAATATTTGCCTACAAAATTAATATCCATTGTTTTCTCATTAAGGGTATGAATGGTGTCAATGGCATGCCTGGCCCACAGGGCCCTGTAGGGGACAAGGTTAGATTTTCACCCCCTTTTTTTTCTGTTTTCACACACACAAAGACAACCTTAATTTTTATGCAGTTGTTTGACATATAGGGGGATAAGGGTGCACCAGGTACTGAAGGGAAGAGAGGGACTGATGGATCCCCTGGCATGAAGGTGAGCAGTCTGTTGAGAAGCTGGTAATTATAATAAGAATATTCAGTTATAGTGTTGATGAGATCTATGTAGTTTCATTTAGGTCTGTTTACTGAGTAAGTGAACTTACTGAAACAATACAATAATCCTGATCCCTTAGGGTGAAAAGGGGGATGGTGGAGATCCAGGACCCCAGGTGAATGTTTAACAAAGTCTTTTCTTCATTACATATTTCTTTTTGAACATCTTAGATGCTTGACAGTCATTTCCATCTGTCTCTCTCAGGGAGAGAAAGGAGCTACTGGCTTCATAGAAAATGCTGATCTGGATGTTAGACTCAAAGCTCTACAGGTACATTTCAGTTAGAAAAATGGCAATTGTGTAAAGACCCTTCGGTTATCTCCAGTAATTACTTTTTGTATTGATATTTTCTTTGTACCAATAGGGGCCTCCAGGACCTCCAGGAGAGCAAGGGCCAAAAGTGAGTTATACGTTTTCATTGAACTGCATTGTCATACACCAGTTACTATTGCTGGAACACATAACATTCAGATATCTCTCAAAAATGTCTTCATAACAGGGAGAAATGGGCTTAGCTGGGGCACCAGGACCTGAAGGAAAGCAGGTTTGTTCATACACAGTCTGATTATAGTTATACAAGTGTACGGCTTTAAATAGCTTGATGTTTCATCCAGGGCCATAAGGGAGAGAGAGGTGATGCAGGAGAGCCTGGAGCAACAGGAGCAAAAGGGGAAAAGGGGGAAATTGGACTGATAGGGCCTTCAGTGAGTATTACCATCATATTACATGTCATGTTTACTGCAACCTTATAAGGTTATGATACATGTTGATTTGTCATGGCATTTTAGGGTGAAGCAGGGCAAAAGGGAGATAAAGGAGACTCTAGGCTTGAGGACAATCTGGTGAGTTTAAAACACACACTTATATGAAGATCCTATGTAATCCAGATGTAACTTAATTGGATTAATCTTGATAACTCTCTTGTAGGCCCAGATTATCCCTTTGCCTGGCCCGCCAGGGCCACCTGGACCTGCCGTAAGGAATACATTTTAATACTTCCTAACTAGATTTTTGAAAAGATAAAAAAGTAGTTCAGAAGCTTTTTGTTAAGGAAAGCTAAGCATACTAAACCCCCCCCTCCCCCCATTCATTCCTTTCAGGGATATCATGGATTGCCTGGACCCAAGGTGAGACTGGGAAGCACTGTTGAAACTTCATGTTCATAGGAGATGAAATATTTAACATCAATCTAACATAAGTTTAAATATAACACAGGGAGAGCCTGGTGAGGCAGTTAAAGGAGAAAAGGGCGATGCTGGAGAGAAAGGTCCACCTGGGCAACGGGTAAGTTTTGTTGCAAAAACCAATATGAAGGAACCACATCAAGACTGTGTTGATACAGTTCTGCTGCTTGTGCTTAGGGTCTTCAAGGCTTTCCAGGGTCTAATGGCTTGGTAGGCCTGCCAGGTGCAAAAGGTGAAAAGGTCAGTATTTTGTACACCTTAAACGACAAGTTAATAAGGCCTAAAATGACTACAAATAGCCTGTTAATGTTTTTTTCTTTTGCCATTGTGGTTTGTTTTCAAGGGGAAACAAGGTGAACCAGGTTTAGATGTAAGTAATCATTATGCCGTTAGTTATGTAAGTATATGAAGTCATTACTTACTGAACATGGCTCTCCTGTGATAGGGTTTCCCAGGGCTTCAAGGAGAAAAGGGGGACAGAGGAGACAAGGGGGAGAAGGTTAATGATTTTTGCTTTTAATACTGCATATATGGTATATTATTTTAAACTCAATTCTTAATGCTATACGAGTACAATCTCACCAGCTTTATTCAAAACAGTTTCAATTTTACCATACCTCTCTTATGTGCTCTTATTTATTTCAACATGCAGGGTGACAGAGGTTCAATAGGAAAAAAAGGTCTGAAAGGACAGAAGGGAGAGCAGGGACCTCCAGGGCTTGATCAGCCTTGTCCTGTGGTATGTCATGAAACCATGTGAATGTTGTTGCAATGTTCTTTTTTTTTAATCCCTTCAATGCAAGTATATGGCAAAGTCAGCTCCATGTGCATGTATTGAAAGAATTTACTACAATTAAAATTTGACATGGATGGGTTTCACTGACAGGACTCCAGTGGGTTTAGAGAACATGGTGGGAGGCAGGGCTCCATCAGATGCCCCCTGCCCTTTGGTACAGTATTTTATTGTTTTTCTTGTGTGTGTGCCCACATCATTTCGATGTTTCCATCCTGGTGCTCGGGGTTCCCTTGTCCACAACCATGAGATCTTACTCTCAGGATGGCTTGGCATAGACCAGAGCTTCTGAAATTCTTTATCACAAGTGTTTTTATAATTTCTAACAATGCAAAGTTTGCCCCATACACAAATGAATTCTAACCAGGGACATACAAAACTGCATATTTTTAAAATTGACAACTGTCAAGTGTTAAAAGGATAGTTCACCTTCAGTTGCTGGTCCCCATTAACTTCCATATTATGGGAAAAAACACTAAGTCAATAAGGACCAACTGAAGGTGGACTATACCGTTAAAGGTCCCCTGAAGTGCCTTGAAACACGCAGCGTTATTCTATGTGGTGACGTAATTTCAACTGAAACAGGAAGACAGGGCGGGACATATCGAGCAGCCCCGCCCCCCTTTTTAAATTAGCCAATAGCGTTTTGTTTATATCTGCACGGGTCAGAGCCGTTGAGCTCGGTAAAGCAGCATTTGACAGCCACAGTCTAATAGATTACCCCCTAGATTCAATATGAAACTCTTAGTAAAACAAAATCGTGATCATAATTATGCTGAGGCTGTGTAGTTTTAAAGGGGTCATATGATGCGATTTCAAGTTTTCCTTTCTCTTTGGAGTGTTACAAGCTGATTGTGCATAGATAAGATCCCTGAAGTTGCAAAGACTAAAGTCTCAAAACCAAAGAGATATTCTTTATCAAAGTTAAGACTCTGCCACGCCCCCCTAAAACGGCTCATTCTAACACGCCCCCATTTTTGAACATTAAAGCATGTCAACATATTCTGTTACACCAAGTACACAAAATAATGATCTTTAAAAAAGCATCATATGACCCCTTTAAAAGTGTTTAATATATGCCGACTCACGCATATGATCCACTCCGTGCGATCGCATCTCTGGACCGGAGCCAAAGTCCGGATAAGAATGTGCGCACTGCCACCGTTCGCATGACACAACGTGAAACCAGACCTCATTTGCCCCAATCGAAAGCATATTTACACTATCTGAATCGTTCCCTATCACCTACATTGTACACTCTTCAAAATGCGAATTTTGTCACTGTCAACCCTAATTATAACCAATCACACACGATTCTGTTGAGCTAATGAATGCAATGACCAATCAGAGACGTTCAGACGAGTCATCGCTGAAACGTGGTGTTTTGTTCACTTGCTCGCTGACTGAATTATCTGGCGAATTCTCTCATCAGAAACAACAAAGTGCAGATGTGTGTACAAATGTAAGTAAGATATTCATTTCACGGTGTAAACAGCTTCAGTGATTTTAATGGGAGTTTTTGAGAGTGCCTGAACTCTGGCTGAATGAAAGTGAAAGTGAAGAAAGTGAAGTGACGTGTGGCCAAGTATGGTGAACCATACTCGGAATTTGTGCTCTGCATTTAACCCATCCAAGTGCACACACACACAGTAGTCTACTTTGCCCATCACCATTTATTGATCAAATAGCAATCTATAAAGGTGCAAAACACATTTACTTTCACATATTTGAGAATCGAGATGTTTGCTGATATAGATAACACGTTTGGAAATATTTCGAATAAAAAGGAAAAAAAGAAATAAAACATAAGCCATAAGTATGTACAAGTCATTGGTGTTTGGTGATGAGTTTTTGGCTCAAGGTCTGCATTTAAAATCACACCAGAGGTGTTCAGCTGGGATTAGCCCTAGTGAAAAAAAAATATGCCAAGTATACTTGCAGCCAGACTACATTATTAACAATTCAAACAGTGTTTATTTAAACCTCAAATGGTTTTAGCATTGCAAAACAAAAAATGCACCAACCATGTTTTTAAATAAAAAGAACGCTGAAAGAAACAAACATAAAAAAATAAAAACATTTAGCAACAGCAGCAACACACAAACGTCACTTTTTTGCTGAATTTGATTTAGATTTTTTTTAAAGACTTTATTCCGAACGTAAAATAAATACAATAAAACAAAACAAAAACAATACAACACAAT